TCTATGGTGGTATGTTTTCTGGTAATGGCCATTTTATGAGAGTTGCCTTAATCTAAATGACATGAAGCAAGAGAAAAGGCTGTTGGCTTTTTGTTGGTCATTCCCCTGCCCATCCCCAGGATCCAGCTGCAAGAACCAAGGAAACGGGCCAGCACCCCCCCGCCCCGCCATTCTGGAATCTGACACTGTAGGTAGGATCTACAGGCTTTTCAGAGGTTATGTAATTTTGCAACCCTGCAAAAAATGGTTTTTGAGGTGCTAAAGACATTCTCTAAGAAGGTACATTTTTGTGAGGCGTGTGGGTGGTGGACATCAACAAAAACTGGAAATAATCATGAACAGATGTAAAATACCCCAGGGACTCTTAGACTAATTGGTGAAGTCTTTGCATATTGCCTGTAGTTATACAGAGGGCCTGTTATCATGTCTGCCAGCCAAATCTATGAATGTATGTCAGTGTGATCTCAGTGGAACCCATAGTTTGAGGAGGCCTGGAGACTTTTAAATTACATATATTAATAAAACAGATGAATGTTTGCTTTTTCCAATTACTTTACTCAGATGATATTAAGTGAACATTCCCAGAATAGCCATGTAACTTAATGTCACTCATCATCGTTTATACATTAACTAAACACACTCGACTGAATAATCTTACACTTGACTTATTTCTATTTATTTTCCTCACTGTTAACAGCTTTCACATTTCTTTCTATTCCTCTAGCACATACGAAGGGTTATTTATGAACACACAGTGAAACAAAGAAAACTGCCTATTAGAGTGTTCTTGAAAAAAAATTACTGGTCCTAGTAACAATTTCCTTGAATATATATGTTATATTCTTTTGGGGGAATTGGAAGATCTTTATAAATAATAACTTGCATTTGTATTACAGTTATTGTTTTACAGCCCTTCTATAATGTCAATCTCAGTTTATCCTCCTCCTGCAAACTTTAATATCTGGCTGAGGCAGATCTTACTCTTCAATTGTAATAATCCCCGTGTACTAAGGGTGGGGCCAGGTGGAGATCATCGCGGGGAGGGTTTCCCCCATACTGTTCTCGTGATAGTGAGTGAGTGCTCACAAGATCTGATGGTTTTATAAGGGGTTTCTCCCTTTGCATGACACTCATTCTCTCTCCTGCGGTTCTGTGAAGAGGTGCCTTCTGCCACGATTGCAAGTTTCCTGAGGCCTCCCCAGCCACAAGGAACTGAGAGTCAGTTAAACCTACATTCTTTATAAATTACCCAGTCTTGGGCATTCCTTCACGGCAGTGTGAGAACAAATTCATACAGTGGTCCTAGGAGGAGTGGCCTCAGAGTCCCCTGGGAATGTTAGAAATGTAAATTCTCAGGTCCCACCCTAGATTACTGAATCAAAAACTCTGGGGGTGAGGCCCAGAAAACTGTGCTTTATCAAGTCGGCAGTTGATTCATTTAGGCTAAAGTTTCAGGAACGCTGGCCTACAGGAGAAAATGCAAAGGGCCTTCTAGCAGGCATTCAAAGACCTGTTCATCGTGCCTCTTTGTGGGTCTAAAGCCATGTTTTATCATTTGCCTTCTGGCAGCCTATACCTTCAAGTCACTCAGGTTCACCTTTATTCTATTCTCTTTTGCTCTTATCTGTAATGCTTTGCCATATGTCTCTTGGCGCAACCTGACCCAGCCATCCAGACCCAGCCAATATGTCTCCACCTTGGTGCTCCCACTGCACGTCATTCATAGACATCAGCCCAGTTCAAAACCACTTTCCTTAGAGCATGAGAGTTCATTATTTCCATGTCTTCCTTCCTTTCTAGACCGTGAATTCTCTGAGAAGCAGGACCATGTTTTATAAGCTTGGGTTGCATCAGCAGTGGCTCTCACTGCCTGGCCAGGTGGCTTGCAATAGTGTCCTTCGTGCTGTTGTTGAATTATTGAAAGGGAAAGAATTAAACTACCATCAGCTGTTGATATTTTCTCAAACCTGCGTGGCCACGCTCACGTCAGAAAGCCAAGGGCAGCGCTGACAGAAGGGATCTTGAGGAAAGCATCTTGATGAGAGAAGAGATTTGGTCGGAGGTGGCCTCTGGGGAGGATGGTTCCAAAGAGGAGCCCTTGGCTTTGGGCTGAGGACAGCCCGTGAGAGTACTGGGCTGCCAGGAGGAAACTCAAAGGCAGGAGCCTGAACTGAAATGGAGGTCAGGAAGCCCCAAAGGCAACGTTGGCCCAGATGGTTAAGGAGGCAGTCATGCATAATAGTCAACCCTGAGGGAGACAGAGCTTGCAGTGGGACAATCTCAGGTTGAATTCTGTCCGGCACATTACATTTATGACCAGAGCATGTTAGTTAGCCTTTATGAATCTCAGAAACCTTTGTAGAGAGTAAGAATACCATACTCACAGTATGCAATAATAGGAGCCATTGTTTATTGAGCACTTCAACAGGTTCGCTCCTTTAATCTTCACAACCATGCTATGAAATTGGAATTTGGGTCTCCCATGTTACAGCACCAAGAACTTGCCTGTAGTCACATACGGAGGTATAATGTGGGAGAATGGACTTCAGTGGAACCATCAGACTACAGAGCCTTGGCTATCTGGTGCTATGCGGCATTACCTCCTTAGGGGTCTGTGAAGACTAAGTGAGATATTTATGTAAAGCACCCAGCAAGTGACTACATGAAAGGCACAATTTTTCTAAGACCAAGTTGGCTTCAGGATGTGGAAAAAATAATCCCTAAACATGGAAAAAAACTCTGGAATGGACATCAAATCTCTCCTTTTATCTACTTACTTCCTTTGGCTCTGGGAATCACGTTCTCTTATTTCATTGTTTATTAATACCTTTGCACCTGAAGTTAAGCATATCCTTATTTCCAGAAAGAAAATTGCTGTTTCAGAGTCCCTGGTCTTCATCCCATTGCTAAGGGTGATGTTTCAAAGAGCACAGTATGAGCTTCTGGCAGAAATCTTCGGAGCCTCCTGTCTGCACTCCTGAGAAAAAGGGCACGAGAGGAGAGACACAGCCTTCAGGTCTTTTAGGCTTCTGGGAGTGGAATTCTCCACCCTGTTCCTTTGATTCACAAGAGGAATATTTTTCCAAAGAATTCTGGCAGGCTCCTGATATTAAGATGATGCGAAAGTTCTGTGCTAACCTCACAGGGACAGCATCGATTCAGAGAGAGCAAAGTAGGCACATCTCACAGGAGCATTTCCTCTGGAGCTGCTCCGGCTGAAGGATTCACAGAACTCAGAAATCTTTGCCAAGCCTAGAGGTCTTGGAGAGGAATACTGAACAGAAAACCAGGATATTCTTCTGTATATTTTCCTGATGACTATGGTGTAGAGGAGAAAAAAAATCTTCTTCTTCTACCCGTCTTGGGCTCTTCAGTGAGGACCCTGTAAATAACACTGGTGAAAGACAGCTTAACAAGAGAAAAGCAAACATAAGTTTATGGGCATGTGCATCGTGCATTCACATTAGCACACAGAGATGAGCAATTCTAAGGGTGGTTTGAATTTGAGCTTGTATAGCACCTTTGCAAAAGGACAATTTTTTTTTTTTTGGAGAAGCAGTGACACTAAGGAAAAGGACTTTGAGCTTCCAGGGGGTGCAGATTATGGGAATGTAAATACAGAGGAGAAACTATTGGTAGACAAGGGTTGGTTATGTAAGGTTTGTTATGCAGATTCCTCTGTACGGTCTAGATAAGGATCCAGCATTGTCTCTGGTGATTAAGAATCAACCTGCCCTTTCTGGTAGAAAAAGGGAGGGCTGAGAATTTTTTTTGTGTCTGTTTCTTTTCAATTGCCTTTAGCTCAAAATAATTCTTATGGCACCGGTTGGGGTGGTACATTCTACTCCCTTTGGCAGAAAGTGCAGCCCCGCCCAGTTGGCTTTACTGATGAGCTCCTTGTTCCAAAGACTTTCTTTTAGTCACAGAAAAGGAGACAGGAGCAGTGATGGTAGCTATTGGCAGGCTTGGAGTCACCAAGTAGACTTGATTTCCAAGGCCAAGGGTTGCTCTGCATTTCACCAACGTTTCTGCTCCCACAGCATGGCTTCAACTTGTTTTTCTTCTTGTCTTCAGCTCACTCAGGGCCTGTCTTGCTGCAGGCCTGGACAAGTCCTGAGTGCACTTTTCTTTGTGCAGAATGAAGACTGGGCCTGTTGCGGGTTGAATTTTGTCCTCCCTAAGAAATGCCTTGAAGTCCTAACCCCCAGAACCTATAAGTGGGACCATATTTGGAAAGAGGGTCTTTGCAGATGAAGTCATTGGGTGGGCCCAGATCTAATATGAGTAGTGTTTTTACAAGAAGAAGGAAATTCGCACAGGGACACACACAGAGGAGAATGCCATGTGGAGCCACAGGTACATGAAGGTGGAGGCTGGAGGCTGCTGCAAACCGAGAAATCGTTGGTGCTTGGAGAATCCTCCCCTAGAGGCTTTGGAGGGAGCATGGCCTAGCCAATACCTTAATCTTGGACTTCTAGCCTCCAGAACAGTGAAACACTAAATTTCTGTAGTTTAAAGCCACTCAGTTTGTGGTGCTTTGGGGTTTGTTTGTTTGTTCATTTTGAGCTGGAGTCTTACAACCTCTGACTCCGGAGTTCTAGTGATTCTCCTGCCTCAATCTCGTGAGGAGCTGGGACTACAGACACGTACCGCCATGCCCGGCTAATTTTGTTGTATTTTTTAGCAGAAATGGGTTTCGTCATGTTGGCCAGGCAGGTCTCAAACCCCAACCTCAAGGGATGGCTTGTGTCAGTCTCCCAAAGTGCTGGGATTACAGGCATGAGCCACCATGCCTGGCCCAGTTTGTGGTGCTTTGTGACATAGCCCTAGGAAATTAATAGGGTCCATTGTAGGATGGACAAGCATGCTGCCGCCTGGTGCTCTCAGAGAGTAAAAGGGATTCTGAGTTTCGCAGCCTCTTTCAGAGTCAGGGTGAGGGCAGGGAAGGGAGCATTCTTCTGGAACTCATGGAAGTTGATAACACCAGAGAGAGTCGTTCCCATCTCACAGTGGTCAGTGAGGGTTGTTGCACTGCTGTTGATCACTGTGTGATCCAGTCCAGCAACACAATCCCAGCGTGGGCACCACTTGCCTGAGTGTAGAGGCTGCCAGCAGTCGTACCTCAGGCTGCATGCCACTTCTCTGCATGTGCCTCCCTGTGGCTCAGTTTTCATTTAAAGATCCTGTCATTATGGACCACAGGAGTCCAGAGAGGTAGCCTGGCCAGTTACCTTGACAACCTCATGATGTCATGCTGTAAACTTCTTCCTGGCTGCAGATCTAATGCGATTCTCGATACTGTCGGCTCCTCCCAGCCTGGATGACAGCAGCTAAAGTGAGAGCTTACAGCTCACTTTTAATGATGCCCTTCGTGGCATCTTTAGGGTATATTTGCATTAGCAATGGAAGGTGAGTCTGACTGCCGATAAACTGCATGGAATTTTTGCCCAGGGGACCCAAGCCTACTGCTGGCAGATCTGGCTCAGCTGCTGGGAGGGTTTTCTCATCCTCCTTGTGCTGTATTTAGGATTCCCTGCGGCAGTTCAGCAACAAAGAATGAACGTGACCCTCAGTCAAATGGATTCCTGAGAACTTCCCCTCCATGAGCTGGACCCTGAGTATATCAGAGAATCTTATCCCAACGGGTTTCTTAACAAAGCCTTTTCTCTGTCTTCAATCATTCCCCACCACCAGCACACCCCTTTAAGATTTTTATCTTTAGGGTTTTGAAAGTATGTTTTTAAAAAGCAAAGGCTCTGGAGTGAAGTCGGCATCAGCACAGGCACACATGCACACCTCACTTCCCAGCTTCCCAGTGCTTTCTCTCCAGTCCTGGGGAAAAGCACCCCCAGGCAACGTCCTGATAAGTAAGAGAGCAGGGCAGGCAGGTGGCTTTCTCCATGGAGAAAAGGCAGCTGCAGTTACTCTTTGACAGAGGCCTAAAGTGGGTGCATGCTCGACTGTGTGAGAGATTTAACTTGCCTGTCTGTTTAATGAGGACATGGACTCTCATCTCCTAGCAGCAGGCAAGAGGAAGGATAAGCAGGAAGACCCCACACGTGGTGACTCTCCAGTACGGACATTGGAGCCAGCTTCAGTAAGCCCAATGGACAGAGCTAGAGAAGGCGAAACTACAACCTCCTCCTGTAGGATTTCTGTGAGCTGGTACCAAGGGGCCTTATGCACTGTGGGGGAAGAAGCTACTTCGTGAGGATTCTTTTATCTGTTTATATGGGCAAAAACTTTTGATACACCCTTAGAAACATAACAGCTGCTGGCTGACAGTCTAGATTTCTAGGGTCAGAGGCTCCCCATCATCTTTGAAAGCCATGCTCAGTGTCAAAGCCAGATAATTTTTTGTTAAGAAGCACTCAGGCCCAGAGAGTATCTTCTGGAAGGTAGAGGAACGTGAAGTGCAAAGGGGTTCAGAAATCCCTTCCAACATGTGGATGCTGTTTTCTAATACCATGCCAACTCCATGGCAGCAACTGCTCCCTAATGCCCACTGCAGTTCTGGCCTTTTTATTATACCTTTGAAGTGGTGATATCTGGCTAGAAATGGGAGTCTCACAATCTAGAAGACAGGAAAAATATGAGAGAGAATCAGAAGAGGAAGGCTCAGATCTAGGCATGATGCCCACACTTGCAGCACACATGGAGACAGGTGATAGCAGTGTAGGCAAAAGCTATGCCCTCCAGTGACCTCCTTACCCCCTTCTCTCTTTGGGTAACATGCTGATGTGCCTATAGATGAATATGGATCCTTTTTTCCTTTTTCATATGATTGAGGGTGTCGGCTTAAACTGTGGCCTCAGGACAGAGTTACATGTTGGAATAACATTTATCTCAGTACATCAGAAGTTGTGATCACTTTTCAATTTCTGTGACAATAATTAATATAAGCATATTTTATGTCACTTAGAGATTGTCCTTATAATTGAGCGTTGTTGTATGATTTAAGTAACTGCTTTGAATTTTCTTTTATGATCTCTTGTGCCAAGTATGGTAAAGGCAAATGATACCATAGCATTTGAAAAGGAAAATGACACGGAGATTCAAATTGGAAAGGGGGCAGGAGAAAGGAATCATTTTGGGGCCTACAGAATATAGGCATGCTGAAATCCAAAGAATTTGTGCTGTGGCAGCCAGTACCATATTTTTGCTGGGAACAGATGTATTATGCAGATTCCATTTTTTGCACAGACAAACTTGCAACCATTCATCAGCAAAAAGTGCAGCAGTAAAAATGCAGTGCAGAATTTTCTGTTGATTCTAGCAGTAAGCGGATTAGATACCTACTGAGTTCAGGTTTCAATAACCCTGCAGCATGAAACTTATCTTCATGTGAACAAACAAGACAGTTGCAGAGTTATCAAAGGAAATCATATTAAAATTTGCATCCAAGAATTGACAAAGTTTTGGATTTTACGAGGCCTGATGCTTCTGAACTAGCCAACAAAGAGAAAGCTATCGTATGTTTTTTGTGCAACTTATTTATATCAAAAGGGTTTATATTTAGTTTTGTGTTTTTTTTTTTGGCAAAATAAAATAGTACAAATAAGGTACACCAACACTAAAGGTCTGTTGACTTTATTTTTCCTTCAAAACAAATTGTGGAAGATAGCTGTTAAGATGCTTCCTAATAATTTCCACCTTCTGGTATTTGCACCCTGGGTGCTTTGTTCCCACAAGGTATAAATGTCGGTCTGTGTGGCCAATGCAATGCTAAAGAAGTGGTCATTTGAAATGAAGTCATAAAATACAGTGTGACTCACTCTGTCTCCTTCTCTCTGTCACTCAATCTGGAAAAGCCAGATGCCATGTCGTGAAAACCCTTTGGTGTTCTGTGAAGAAGCTCATGTGATGAGGAGCTGAGGGCTCCTGTTACAGCCATGCGAGTGAGCCATCCTGGAAGTGGATCTGCCAGCCCCAGCCTTCTGACGACTGCAGCCTGCTGGCCACAGCTTCCCTGCAACGTCATGAGAGGCTCTGAGCCAGAATCTCCCAGTTAAGCCACTCCTGGTTTCCTGGCCCTCAGAGACTGTGAGATAAATGTTTGCTTTTTTAAGCATCCTGTTTTGGAGTAGTTGTGTAGCAACAGGTTATCTGATGCAGGAGCCTATACATAACCAATGACTGAGAAACACTATCAAATGTCACTTCCGGAATGGAACCAGTGAGTCAAGTACTAGATGTATTCATTACTTAGTCATGGATTTGGATTTGAATGTATGCTGTAAAAAAGAAAAAAAAGCTATTTATTGGTCTTGCTTCTTAGCATCAGTTAATTAGTGACATTCACTCCATTTTGATGTGTTGTTTAAAATATACATATCTATATATAAATATACAGGAGCAGATTCAACATCTAACCTTGCCATTTCTCCTTTCTTTCTTTCTTTCTTTCTTTCTTCTTTCTTTCTTTCTTTCTTTCTTTCTTTCTTTCTTTCTTTCTTTCTTTCTTTCT